GAGCTGTCCAGGAGCCCAGGCCCATAGGCCCAATCTAGGCCGACAGATGGATGAAGCCCACATGACTAGGTTCCAAAGCTAGTGAAGAATCATTGCTTTTATAAAAAGAAAAAAGGAGAGAAAAACTTTATTTTGAAAAGAAAAAGAGAAACTACCTATGCAAGGTACCTACACTGCTGAGGAGTGACAGAGTAGGCTTCCCTGCTGGCTCAGTGCCCCAGAGCTTGGGCTTGGGAGACAGGACCCCAGAGTCAAGCCCTCGTTCCACCCACTTACCTGTGACCTTGGGCAATATTGAAGGAGTTATTGAAAGGGGAAGATCCCACCCACCACTGGGCCCACTTGATGTTTCTCTCCCCCCTCACAGATTGCACCTGGTGCACAGTCCCCCGCTGCACCCGGATTTCAAGAGGGCCCTTGGGGCCCTGCCCCCCCACTTCAACGCCTCCACCGAGCCCGACTACCTCAGGCTCATCTCCAACTACGGCACCCACTTCATCCGCTCCGTGGAGCTGGGCGGCCGCCTCTGGGCCCTCACCGCCCTGCGCACCTGCCAGCTNGGGCTCCGGCTGCCAGCGCCACGTGGCCAAGGCCAAAATCAGCTCCACTGAAGCCATGGCCCGGGAGGCAGCTGGCAGCATCCGCAATGACTGGCGAATTGGGCTGGACGTGACCCCCAAGCCCAACAGCAACGTGCACGTGGCCGTGGCCGGCTCCCACTCCCAGGCAGCTGACTTTGCGGCCCAGAAGGCCCACCAGGACCAGTACAGCTTCAGCACTGACTCGGTGGAGTGTCGCTTCTACAGGTGAGAGCTGGGGTAGAGGTAGGGGGCTTGAAAAAGGTGTTGGAAATGCCAGTGGCCTAGGGGCCCTGGAATGGAAGGGTGGGAACGTGGAGGCTGATTCCACCAGGAGGAAACTGCAATCCTGCTTCTCACTCAGGTGATAAAGCCCTGCGGCCTCCTCCCATCCATGAGGGCCCAAATCTGGAAGTGCCTGGTGAAAGACCAGGCGGAGCGGAAGTGAGCAAGGCCATGTGCTGAGAGCCCCAGCATGGTACCATGTAGGTCCAGTGAGTGCCCCGTCCTGTCTTTCCTGGGCACTGCCAGCCTTCCATGGGGAACTCTCTGGATGTGGACAGAGGCAGGAGACCTGACCAGGTCCTCCCTCCTCAATGTTGTGTGACCTTGGTCACCTTGCTTCTCCTCTCTGGGCCTCATTCATCCATTCAACCAATATTCGTGTCTGCCTTGTGTCAGGACTACACTGCTGAGAAGCAGCAGTCACTAGCCCAGCTC